GTTGTCAGGGCATTGGCTGCACTCAAACAGAAAACCACCTCCACATGACATGATGGAGAAAACCAACCATTCTACATGAAGTAAACAGAATACCATGTGTGGTGTGTAACTGTGATGATATCTGTTAAAACAGGAAAGTCTTGTTTCCTGTTTACTTGTTCCAGTGTTGGGCAAGTTACTTCAAAACTGTAATGCAGTATTTATTACTTTCTATCCTCATTTTAAAGAAATAATTACATTACAAGATTACAGATTTTAAAATGTAAGGCATTACACTACTTTTGCATTACTCTAAGTCACTTTTAACAAAACAACTTCAGTATAAATTTGGTAATCTGATGCCCAGTGAACTCATGACACATCGGGTGGAAGGTGATGTGGTGTCTGAGCTAGTGTTGCTGTTAAAAACAGTTTTTTAGAATGATTGTTTATTAAATAAAAGAAACAACAAACTGTACTCTCAGCATGCTGTCATCTTATATTAACCGAGCAGGGAGTGAGGTGGTGGGGGCTCCAAGCCAATTTAGCCTTGGTCCCCAAATGCCTTGATACGGCCCTGGATGTGGGACTGACTTTTGAGGGTGATCTGATTCTATCACATGTATAAATATTAAATGCTTGTATATTATTGCTTTTCACCGGTAAAAATTTGTATTGGGGATAAATGTACCTATTTTTTTTCTTTTCAAGTACTTTTCTTGTGTTTTCTTGATTTCATTTGAATCATTTCCTGCCCTTTCTCTCTCTCACCTTCCTGCATGCTGCATCTTTTCTCAGTCTTCCAGAAAAACAGTTTCCTAGACTTTCTACTTTCTAACTAATCAGCCAAAGGGATTTTAACATGCGCTGCGCTCCAGCAGCAATGAGTTGAAATCACCGTGGTACAGATTATGAACTCAGCTGAGGCAAAGCACGTCAGAAAAGTACAGAAAGTACCAGAGAATATGAGCCGATATGAACGATAGCAAGTGAATTATTTTGTTTTGGTGGAGCGATTTTGTGAATGTTACAGCGGCCGCGTGCAGGACGCAGCTGGAGTATGTGGGCCGTTACCACTGCGTCCTCTCTGCCCGCAAAGCTGAGTCCATAAATGACGTAATATATGCAGATACTGGATCTATTTTCGGGCTTCCCGCAATTTGAATTTTTAAGACGCATCTTGATTCTGGGTTTAAAAATGCATTGTAATTACCGCATTACTGACAATTGTACCGAGTAAATATTACCATTTTGTTTCCCTGTAATGCCCTACATTACCACATTACAGCAAAAAGCAATGCACTAGAGTAATTAATTACTTTTTTACCACGTTACTCCCAACACTGCCTGTTACTAAGAAATATGAGTTAACTTGCAGTCTGGAAGTTTCCATTTGAGACTTAGAGAAAATAAAGGTTATTATGCTATTTAACAGTGATGGTAATGCAAAAGGGGACGTGACCTTACATTCCTTGTCCAAACCTATTCAACAAGCGTCGCTGCTAGCCTGCCTCAGAGCAGGTTTGTCCTCAAGCACGTGTTACCATAGCTTATGAGAGGGGATTCGGGTTAACCTCGTTCATAGAACTGATATGGGGGAAATTAAGCTGTGATTTTCAAAGTGAGCCTGGCTTTTGGGATTAGCTTTCTTGATGGAACAACTCGTTTGATCTGCAGGGTGACTTCATACAGCCGAAACGGGGTATGTTCCACCAAGCCGAGATGAGAACTTCTCCAAGTTTCGATCCATACTGCGGACACCGCCATTTTGCTGGTCCGCATCCAGTTTACAATTTTGCTCGAGCAATGCATGTTTGAGTGTTGACAGCACAACACATTCCTTCATAGAGGTCAAGCAGCTTGCCCAGCTCATCTGACAGCTTCTGAATTTGGTAGGTGCTTTTATAAGACATACCATGCTGGCAAATCAGCGTAATATTACCGCAATGGTATTTCTATAAACGCGCCCTGCCGGCATGGCGTTGCGCGAATTTTGCGGCATTCGTTCCGCCTCGCTTGGCAGTAATATTTGGGTAATGGTCTGTCGTATGCCCCCTGGCGCAACAGAGGCATATATCATGATGACGTGGGAGTTATTGCTGAGCTCCGGCTGGCAAATTTATTGAAAATAAAAGTAAACACCGGCAATAAGGTTTGCTTTTTGAACAAAAGTAGCTGAGATGGCAAACTGGAGCGCCGCAGCGCTCCATGAGCCTCTGTAAGAGCTGAAGCTCAGATCACCAGAGACTGTACAGGGACTGATGGGGCAGACCCCTTTAGGAGCTGCTTGTTAAAAAAACAAAACTTAATGTTCACGGCTTCAATCGCAATAAAAAGCAAGTTATGTCCAAGATAAACGGAAGTCTGCGGCAGCGCAGAGACCGCCCCCATACCCCCTTCATGCCGCCATCACCCAATCTTTTATAAAATTGCCACTATTGCACCACATTACCGCCACAGTCTGATCTTATAAACCACCTTTATCCTCCCCAGAGCGCCACGGCAAATCCCGTTTTGCAAACACTATGGTCCTGTAAAAACAGCTTATTGGTGATACACCAGAGATCATCCCGCTCCAAACAACAGAAACCCGATTATCCTGAATCCAATTGTATACATATTCTCTACGCCCTCCACAGACAGCAGCAACAGTTGCATGTTCTTCCACTTGCCCCAGGAATCGGGCACATAGCCAGCCAAGTCCGTTTTGTCAGGATAGGTAATTGAACCTTTCACCATTCTTTGCGAGAATTTTTGATCAATTGCATTCGGAGACCAGCTGAAAAGATCCATGGTCAAAAAAACAAGAAAAAATAAATCCAGAAGAAAATGCAGAGGTGCTCCAGATAGTCGGACGCATGAAAGAGCAGGCAAGACGGTGTTGGGAAGAGTGGAAGAAAACTGAACTGAATCAACTGTAGGGAGCCTCATCTCAAGGCGTCAGGCCAGGACCTTCTCGAGAAGTTTAACAAGTGACACCGGTCTTCAGGAGTGAGACATATGATCTATCGTAAGTGTATTAGGAAACATATATGTACAAATGATAATGAATGATAACTCGGGGAGGTCAACGTCGAACATTTTAGACCTCAACAGGAGCCACACCATAAGGTTGTCTTTTTTTAAAAATTTTTATCAAAAAATAGAGAAATAACAGTTAGATGCAAAGTTGGTGGAAGCAACCAGACAGTAGAAGACTCATTAAAGACCAACAACAACAATGGGGGATAGTAGTCCAGAAAAATTCTTAAAGAACTCTGCCGGAAAGCCGTCCAGTCCTAGCCTGGCAAGCAAGACTAAATAATATATCATTTATTTAGCCCGACAACACTCCATTGATGGTTCTCGGCCGTGGGGCGGGTTCTACCATTGTCTTGCGAACGATTTCCGCATGCTACTGGTCAATGAACAGTGTCACGTACTCAATGCAACGGATGTCTGTAAACAAGGCAGTCTGCTGTTGAAGGTGAAAATGCATCCTTTTTCTAAATATTGCTACTTTGCATACTGCTGATCGCAAAAGCAATCTCAGTCGCCAAAATATCCTTTTCTACATCCTCAGCCAGATCTGCATTCACAGAGGGGACAGCTATACGGTCAGTCTAAAAGCCTTCAAATTGTCCCTTGTGTAGAGTCGGATAAATACAGCAACCGGAATGGTCTGAAAGGCCCATTCTTGATGCAGCTTACGTGAGAGCAAATGTCTCACTCTCACCATGTTCATAATGTTCACAACGTGATTTAGAAATTGCACATTTGGCCTATCAAGCAAATCAAGGCCTCTCCAGCGTGCAGTTATCCCTATTTCTTGTACACTTTTTCTACCACATCTTTTCCTTCCCCTTCACTTCTCTACTAATGTGCATGGACACAGCTCTGTGAACAGCCAGCCTCTTTAGTAATGACCTGTTGTGTCTTGCCCTCCTTGTGCAAGGTGTCAATGGCCGTCTTCCCAAGAACTCATAAGATCAATGGCTGCCACAAGCCGTTATCAAACAAGGGGTCCTATGTTGAAGAATACTTTTTCCAGAGTGTAGGTTAAACGGTGCCTACCCTGCCTGCTTGTCACTGCGGTGTGGTGACTCTTAGTCATCTTTCAAAGTGTCACTGATATGTATTTTCTGTATTTAATGTGCCTTTTTAAGGCCTAAAGAACGTTGCAGGACATGATAAGTATTTGTTTAAATGAAAGGTCATCAATCTTTGATCACATTTTAGAGTGGTGAAGAATGGCCTCTGTGATCACCCAACTTCCTGAGACAAGATGAAGGTCCAACAATATGTGTTGATTAAGTTACCCCGGTCAGCTGATTCTGAAGAATGTTGATTAAGCTACCGGTCAGCTGAAGAAATTTTGTAAACTTCTGGGTGTGTCTTCCTAAATAAAAGGAGCTCTAAGGCTTTGCCTGGTGTGTGAGCAAACTGCCGTTGTGTCTGGTGTGTTTGATTCTCTCATCCTCTGCAAAGTATTTTCACTTTGCAGAGTATTTCGATGTTGTATGTTTAAGGGTTGTTTACAATTTACCAAATTATGAATCTGATCCCTCTGTGTGTGCTCTGACTTTCTTTGAGGTAATATAGGAGCAATATTAAATTACCCAACAGTCACCCGCAATGATTTCAAACTGGATGCTGCAGCACAGTGGATGTTGTTATGCAATGCAGTAGCTGTTGGTGATGTCTTTGCGGTTCTTGGCAAAAAGTGCTTGCAGCAGGCAGATGTAGGTGAAGTGAATTTCCTGTGTGGTTAAGTTGCTGTGAGGTTCAAATAGAACTTAGATGAGATAGATTAGCATGCCATCAAGACTTTGTCTTCATATTGGGTTGAAGCTCAAGGTGCTTTTAAAACCAGCAAAGTGTGGTTGATGACGAGACTTTTATTGCACTTAAATAAAGTCAACAAATGTCTCATTCCCAAGGAGAGAAGTGTTATGAGGCAATTAGATCCACATTATGCACTATTAATGGCAAGTTTAATATCTCCATCTCCAATGGATTGATGTTATATTTTCTTGTTTCAGGTTTGCTGCTCTATGTTTAGCGTGATGTTTTCATTTAAAAAACACATGAGTTCTCCAGGACATCTACAGGTGAGCATCAGAGTTTAAACTTTCTTGAAATGATTATCAACTCTAATAAGAGTTGACCTATGATGCCATTTCTTTGAGATAGTTGACTTCATAATAAAACATATATCAGTCAATTCAGCATAGTTAACAATGTGGTCTTTAGTTTTGTAAAACCAGCACCAAATTATGTAAAAGAGGCCACAACAAGATAAATGTACCTTTGATTTGACAAAACCGTGCAGTTACTGCAGCCTGAATTTTTTAAGTCACATAACTCATGCTTTGTAGGGTTATAGGAAACAAAAATCAAATATTTTAAAGGTGCTGTGTTGAACTGATGATTCACTGGAAAAGTACTTGTGTTAAACCTCTATTGGTGTGATGCTGTTAATGAGACCCATGAGCCTTAGTGCCCCGATAGCGGGTAAGTGCGTAAGCAATGGTCGTCCACAAGAAGGCAGAAGTAGAAACTCTTAAAGAATGCTGTGAGGCCCCCGTCCATGCAGGGATGGGTGTAGATATTATGCTGGGGTGGGGCTGGGTTGGTGCCCTCGGACTCCGTGAAGCTCTGTGATGCTGCTGCTTTGGGCCCTGGCAGGATGGGCTGGGGTCTCCATGCTCTGGGTGGCATTTTGACAACAGAGGTGCCTATTGGGGCCAGTGGGTGTTGGCTCCCTGGAGGGCTAAGCCCAACCAGCCATTCCTCCCGATCCCCAATCAATCAATCAATCAATCAAAGCTTTATTTATAAAGCGCCTTCTGCAACCCTGCCAGGAAGCCCAAGGCGCTGAACATGGTACAGTAGAAGTACAAATATAGTGAATAAATCAAAAATAAAAGCATTTCAAAAATAAAAGCAGTTCAAATTACAGAATACAAATTACAAAAAAAGGTGAAACATTCTACTACAGGACAGGTGGGTAAAACAAGGGATAGAGTGAACCAATGAAAACTGTGAAATAAATTCAACGTAAAAGAGGGCTGAATCAAACATGTTCAGGAAACGCCAAGCGGAGGAGGTGGGTTTTTATGCGACTCTGAAAGACTGGCAGAGATGGGGACAGCCTAACTGAGGGTGGCAACTGGTTCCAGAGTGACAGTGCTAGTACTGAGAAAGCCCGGTCTCCGCTAGTACAACACCTAGAACAAGGCACAGCGAGCAGGCAGAGGAGCGCAGAGCGCGTGATGGGGAATGTTTGTTCAGGAGTGTGGCTAGATAGGGAGGACCACCACCATGGAAGAAATTGTAAACAAAGACGAGGATTTTGAATTGTGAGCGATAGCAAACCGGCAGCCAGTGCAGGGAGGCCAGTACCGGACTGATGTGGTCCCGTTTCCTGGTCCCAGTCAGGAACCTGGCTGCACTGTTCTGCACAACCTGTAGGCGACGCAGTGATGACTGACACAACCCTGAATAAAGAGAGTTGCAGTAATCAAGCCTAGAAATTACAAATGCATGCAGTACCCGCTCCAGGTGGGCTGTCGACAGCATAGGCTTGATTTTTGCAAGGCGTCTCAGGTGAAAGAAACTGGACCGGATCACTGAGTTGATGTGAGCATCAAATTTAAGTCCAGCATCAATTTTTACCCCCAAACTGGTAACAACTGGTTTTGAGTAGGGAGAAAGAGGGCCAAGATCAACATAACGACCCACATTCCTGGTGTTGGGGTGAAAAACAATGAGCTCTGTCTTTCCCTCATTCAGATGCAGAACGTTGGCCATTAGCCAAGACTTCACCTCGTTAATACAGGACACAAAGGACTGGATAGAGTGACCTTACTCCTGACACAATGGAGAGTAAATCTGGCAATCGTCAGCATAGAGATGGAATGATAGGCCATGTTTACGAAAGATTGACCCCAGAGGAAGCAGATAAATGGCAAACAAAAGAGGACCAACGATCGATCCCTGCGGAACCCCCCAGCGGTGCCCCTCCCAAGATGAAAAAACATCACCCAGTTTAACGCAGAATGTCCTGTTGTGGAGATACGATCTAAACCAATCGAGAGCAGACCCTTTGATCCCAACCCATCGTTCCAAGCGATCAAGTAGAATTGCCTGGTTGACTGTGTCAAAGGCTGCCATCAGATCTAACAACAGAAGCACCACAGATGTACCCTGATCTAGTGATAGATAGATGTCATTTAGGACCCTCAGTAGAGCTGACTCCGTGCTATGGCCAGACCTGAACCCTGATTGGAAAACCTCAAACAGATCAGAGTCAGCTAAATGTGAGACCAGCTGCTGATAAACGACTTTCTCAAGCAGTTTTGATGTAAAAGGCAGGGTAGTGATAGGCCTGTAATTTGCGATCACAGAGACATCAGCACTAGGTTTCTTCAGGGTCGGCCGAACAACTGCTGCTTTCAAAGCAGCTGGGACCACACTTGTGCTGAGGCTCCCATTGATAATTTGACCAAGTGATGGGCCAAGACACGGAAAGGCAGCCTTCCAGAGACAAGGCGGCAGAACTTCAAGTGGAGAGCCAGATGGCTTCTGCCTCACAACAAGCTTACTCAGCTCAGAGTATGAAATAGTATTGAGGGAGCTCAGGGTGGGTGGTGATGGAGGAACTGGAACAGTGTCAATAAAGTTACCGGAAATAGCTGCTCTAATGCCTGATACTTTATGAACAAAGAATCTGTGAAAATCTTCAGAGTTTCCAGCAGCTGTAGGAGACATGGAGCTAGGCTCCTGATACACCAGAACAGAGTTTAGTGTTTTGTAGAGAATCTTGATATTCTTGGTTTGTTTCGATGATTTCTGCAAAATAGGCCGTTCTGGCAGCCCTCACAGCATCCTGATAAGCACCCAGAGATGCTCTGAACAACTCACGCGAGACCTGTAGGCCATCCTTTTTCCACTTTCTTTCATAGGATCTACACGCCCGCCTACAAGCCCGTGTGACATCAGAGAGCCAAGGCTCCCTCCTAGGCCTAGACTTGCAAAGTTTGAGAGGGGCAACCACGTCCAGGACCTGATTACAAAGTAAATCAAAGTGTTGTGAATAGTGTTCAGTGTTAGATGGATCAGGGTTAAAGGTCTCTGTTACAAGCCATCTACCCAAACTAGCTGACTCTTTAATAAACACTACGTCTCAGGGTTGACTTTTACTTCTATTTATGCGGGGGCGTGATTATCCAGTTGACCTGCACACTAATATGAGCTGATCAGCGATCACCATTAACCTAGGTTTAGATTCTGGCACACACACTACTAGCAGCTCAAAGGAAGAGTCTGTTCAAACCCAAACACACCTTAGTCACCTGCAGTTTATGTAGTGCTCAGGTTAATGACTCTAAACTAAGTGTTATGAACCTCTTGGAGTGGGATTAAAGTAACCAGCACTCACCTTTCTGCGCTTACGCGACACCAAGGAGACCCCAGGCAGGAGATCCGTTTTAAAGCTCCTTATAAGAAGGAACAAAAGTTTTTATTTTATATGATGAAGTAAAAAATTATTCCAAATTCCCGACGCAGCGGGTCAAAAACACCGAACTCGTACAGACTCCGAACAACAACCACAACTCCCCAAGAACCACCCTAACCAACTGGGCCCCCCTCTTTTATTGCTTCACAACAACTCCCCTTCTGGCCCATCTTCGTCTCCATGACAACTCCCGCCTTGGAAGCATTCTCCGGCCTTGAGACTCCTCCCAGCGTCTCTTGCTTGGTGTCCTTTCTTCTGGTTATCAGTCTACAGGGGGAGGTTTCTTCCCCCCTCCTTCCTCTTCTCCAACTCAGAGATCTGCTCAAGTCAACCATAAACAATTTCCTGACATGGGTGTCCCTGAAACTCTTATCACATCCTGGACTACTCCCATAGAGATCAGTAAAAGGCTAAAACTACAACATATATTTGCCAAGAATAGCAGATTAGTGAAACACACTCATTATTTACGACATCAGGAGATCAGGAGTCAAGTCATGCACACACATTTTACACACAGACCTTTTTCTGAACCCTGCAGCCTAGTTTCATTAACACACAGATTGAGATGTAATTCAGAACTGCTTTTATATGATAAAACAGGTCTGGAGAAATCGAAAATCTTTGTTCAACAGTCTCTAACCTTACAGACATACAGTCCACAAACTTTGAAATAGGTTCTGCATCCAGGGCTCTGAACCTAGTAGCGGGAGCTTCACACACAGGGACAGGACCTGGCAACGTAACATCACAGAGTATAGGAGAGTGGTCAGAGAACACAGGAGGCAAAGTCACAAGGTTCATGACAGGGAGACCAAAAGAGAGAACCAGATCTAGGGTGTGAACCCTGGCATGAGTTGGGGATGATACCCATTGAGTTAGATTGAATGAATCTAGCAAATTCAAAAAACCTTTAGCAAGCACATTGTCAGGACAGCAGATATGGATGTTAAAATCACCAAAAAATAGGACATTCAATTCAATTCAATTCAATTCAAAAATACTTTATTAATCCCAGAGGGAAATTGATTATAGTCAATTGTCACTTCCCATCCCCACACATTTCTCTCCTCCTGCTCCCTCACATCATCACACAAACATGCACATAGGACCTTGGGGGGTGGACAAATCAGGGAGTGCGGGTATGGACCCCATTTCCGCATTCCTGTGGCAACCTGCCCCCCAATTTTATTTGCACCTTAAACACTTCCATTCAAAATAACGACATTCCACACCAGCACACACTTAGGGCCTTGGGAGTGAGCACATTCAATGGCACTTGGCAGGGGGATTTCTCAGCCTCATCCCAAGTGCCAGTGCCCACTTCCAATTTTACACTGCACTTAGACACTGAGGGCTGTGGGTGCAAGTGGGGTGGTGTGGTGGCATCAGCTGGCATAGGCCAGACGATGCCCGCACTGCCCGCTCACCACAGTCATGGAATACATCTCATCAACACTCACTAACACCATATTGGAGAAGGCAGAGGGAGACTAGGGGTCTTAGCACACCTCTGTTGTCGCTTGGCTTCCTGGGGCTGGAGGCTAGGAGGGAGATCTGGCCATCTGGTTGGGGTCTAGGGTGGTGGGT